TGCTCAGTGGCATATTCTAAGTCCAAAGATGTTTTGGACGTATCATGGTTTAGTCGTGTATTTTGGAGAGAGAAGCCTTGTCTCTACCAGTGCAGGTTCTTTATCCTTCTGACAGTTGCCAGCCAGCATTCAGCATTCATTCTGTGTTCTCAGCTCAGTGGTCATTACATGCACCTGGCAGGTTGGTCTACTCATGGGCACGCTGGCAAGCGCAAGCGTTGGGCGAAAGTCAGGGACATCCCTGAACGCACTCGCGCTAGGACGGACTGGCAAGAACATATGAGCACACTTGTGCAGAGACTATAAACCCTATATCACCCCAATGTATACCAAATAATACTATAGTATTTTTCCATTTTCTTTTCCATTATCCCTATATAACCCCTATAAAGCCCAATATACTCCCATGTAAAAGGTTCTTCAAACCCAGCAGCTCCCTCGATTCCAACATGGGAGGACCAATGGCCTCGGACTATGGCAACGTTTCTCAGAACTTCCACGACCTGCCTGTAAGCTTTGCGCTGACTGCAGGCTCTCCACATTCAGGCGCACGCGAATGTCACAGCGCGTATGGGGTAATGTAGTTGGTGCTTTGATGAACTAATGCATCAGCAACATCCACTTGCATGTTCACTGTCAGCTGCGCTCTCAACAGGTTATCCTATCTGCACTGCGGAGTGGCGATATCCTGGAAATCTGGAAGACTCTTGGCCTGCGGAACAGCATCAAACTCACCGAAACCTCAGATGTCAGTTGCCTTCCAATTGCTGCAAGCGGTATACCCAGCACAGCCCCGAAGCGGTAAAATTCAGCGTAACCAGTTCTGCTCTCGGCTTGCCTGAGACGATTTGCTAAGAAGTGTCCCATAAAGCAGTTGAGGGCTCCGGCCTGAATATCCTCGACCTTGCCATCTTGGCTTATGCCAGCTCCTTTTTTGATGAGGAGGATGTGAGGCTGACCTCCGCATGGCAGTATGCACGATGGCTGCTCTCATGTGATCAGGAATGCTGCCACAAGTTTTTGCCAGGCGAGGCCTCGGGGAGATGCTCAATGGCACTCACATGGCTGGCTGGCAGCTCCTGGAGGTCATCTGGATGTCATGAGGAACTGGAGGTCTCCTGGGCCTAGAACTGCTTTCTTTTGCATGCTCAGGTGGAGAGCCCCAGGACTGCAAAAACTTCTCGCTGCTTGCCCAGTCTTGTGAAGAAGCAAAGATCTCGTGCCCTGGCAAGACCTTGATGCCGCCAGGACGGTGGGCCGCTGGATTGTGGTTTCCTTCCCCGCCCTCAAGTTGAGAGTGGTCTCAGTCAGGGGGACGTCGAACATCCAAGATGCGCCGCTTGGCAGAGGTCCAAGCAGCCTACGCGTACTTGCCAAGCCTAAGAGGTAGGCTAACCTGGTACCGAACGCAAGCGGGCACTGCACGCATGTGCTTTTGTGGCAAAGGTATGCCGACTTGAAGCTTTATTCGGGAGTGGCTGTCGCCTTCTGAGCTTCTTATGAACTAGTACTACATACGTAGTATTATTACTGGGACTGCTACTGTTACTTCTGTTACCGCTACTATGACTATTACGATTATTATGAATCACTGTTATGATGCTCAATAATTGCTATGTTGTTGGGCACAATGCCCAAATTCACTGGATGATTTGGCGGCGTAGCTGACTTTTAGAGCTTCTGCAGCTGTGGCTTTGGATTCAGGTCCTTCAGATGACAAGCGTGTTCACGCAACTGGGAAGTCAGAATGTTGCAGGTTTCTTGCAGGTTTTTTCTGAGTTAGGCACCACGAAACTAAATTTAGCAAGCAGAATTGCACAGGACGTGCTGTATGATATCAGCGCTTTCTTGGATGTCAAGCTCAATAACTTGTGTATAGCATTCTCATGCAGGCGTGCTTGACATTATCCTTGTGTAGCAGCGGTACTAGTGCCATGATGCTACCTTTGCGTTGCTCACTACCCTTGCATGGTTACGGTGCGGCAACACCATGCCTGATGGTTGGTTCAAACCTCCCTATCAAAGCGTTTACTATGCTACCCTTGCATAGTCATGCTACAAATGACACCACAGTAGATTCAGAACTGTTTGCAGCAGAAGGCCGGTCTTGTCTGTCATGCCAACCGGCGTGACTCAAGTGTGACACAACTGCAAGAAGACCTTGTTCCGGGCATGCTTGATGAGGGCAGGCCTCATATGCGCAATCAAGCTTCAATGAAAGACCCCTTTGAACACACGCGAGAGAGATCACTGAGCTTGATGTGGTGTCATGCGGGCGCCAAGGATGATGAGTGGCAAAGTCAGCGAGGCAGTCTTCCAACACCAGCATGTCTCGGAGCGCCTGAGACTAGCTGTCCAGAGGCCGAGACAACTTACCTTACCCATTTCATTGGGGTGCATGGCGTAGCCCGGCAATAGTTGGAGCGCTCCGGCGCTTCATGCCAGATTTCAAATTCATGAGAGTTGGTCGGAAGGAGGGGTAAGCTTAAGCCGCTATGTGTTATGCTTCTCGAGGAGTGGGACTGTTGCAGGCATAAGGTCGAAGCTGCACAGCAAGGGCAGAAGCTGCTGATGACCGGGCATAGTCTGGGAGGCGCGTCTTCTCGATTACAACCTGCAAGTTGCTGCAATGCTGTTGGCATGAAATGATTGTAGGGGTTGTAGGTAATCAGGTTTTTTGCTATGGGAAATTAGTGGGGGGGCTCTCATAACTTACCACAGTGCAATCTGAATAGCGCTACATATTTGCGGCCAAATGCCGCAAGAGCATTTCCATCATGACACATCAAGACCAAACTGCGGAAACTGTTCAGGTGCCCTGGTGGGTGCCGTCTCAGCTGTTGAGGAAGTTGATGGCATCGGTTTCTCACCTCCCGGGTTGTTTTACCAGGCTCTGGTGACCTGAGTTCTATAGGTTAGGTGGACCCCCACCCAGTAATAGTGACTGAGGGATAATGGTGATGATATTAGGGTATTACAGGGTGGGCGGGTCCACCTAATCTTTAGAATCTACAGGCTTTGAAGCCAACTTCAGCTAGCTTCTTCACTGAAATTGCTATGCAGGTTCGGAAATTTTCGATGACTGTGTGCCTTGGCTGGTGGCTAGCCGCATTGAGCATATCGGTGTGGCTGACATTTCAGGCGAAAGCTGCAGTCATTTGCGATCGTCCAGCCAGAGAATGACGTCGTCCCTCGTTCCGGACTCAGCTAGGAAATCCCCGAGGCATCTTCAGCTTTTTACATGATGTGAGAATTGAAAATTGCAAGTTGGCTATGCAGGCATTGAGTAAGTGCGAATTCACTAGAGGGCAGCAGCTCCAGTTTCGCGATCTATACTGCACTGGGCTCCAGCGCGCTTTTCTCCAAGGCTGTTCAGATAGGAGTGTGTGCTGGTAAGCCTTTTCATGCCGAGGCGTTGACAAGCAGCGCGGGATGATCCAGTGGGTTGAGTGCACAGAGACTGCAGCTCAATGCCACAGGCCGATGCCCCAGAAAAGCACAATCCACAAGCAGGGGCGTCTCTCCCAAACTTTGCAGCGGCCCACTTGTCAACAAGATGATCACCGGTGCCATGCGTTTGCCGTCGTAAGCGTGTATGGGACCCCAAAAAGAATTCCCAGTTCGCCCAACACGGCTGCAAAGATTTTGGATGCGCAAAGGGACCAGCTTTTCTGATTCTCTACAACCCCAAGTATACTTTATGGTACCTGCGACTCCCTGTGGAGGTTAACACACACCGCGTGTGAGATCTGGGCTCGCTGCGGTGATAGCAGGAAAAGAGATTGGCGCAGAACCTGCTCAACTTGGTACTCTGGAGGCCCTGGCTGCTGCCACTCCATAGGAGCTAGAGTCTAAACTCCTTACACGGGCTTAGAGGGGATTATATAGAACAGCATTATGGGGGTAATCAAGGGGAATGCCAGGAGTTTAGGCTATAGCTCACACAGTCGCAGAATGTCTCAGATATGTATGCAAGCTACTTTGATACCGTTTCAGGCCCAAATGGCAACCTCAATCAGGAGCTATGAAGGGTTGGACGGCTAATGTACAGTACAACAATCCTTGGCCTATGGGTGGCAGCCTTTCACTGACGCTGCCCCACTGTTCAGTTCTGCATGCTGAGGAGCCAGGGATTGGTCTCTGTTTCCCACTAAATGTGGAAGCAATGTAGGGCACGCTGTGCATTTTTGACGCGGCTCACTGCAATGTTGAGGGTAAGGCACCCTGGCCCTTGCTGACTTTAAGCTAGGTACGTAAACCACTTATTTAGGGTTCATGCTCATGCTTTAGGATTTTGCTAACTGCCAGGGATTGTTGTTTGCCTTTGCTCTCAGCCGCTTTCAAGCTGATGTACAGGTGGCCGCTGATGCAAGTCCATAAGCAGCGCACGACTGTTGTCGAATACAAATTTTCAGAATTCACGCACCGATGGCAAGGCTCTCGCGTGATCACGAGAGCCTTCCTTGGAGCCAATGTCCCTCTTTTCAGAATCTAATAATCATGCATTGCAGCTTGCCAAGAGAGGCAAGCGTCGGCTTGTTCGAAAACAAGGATGGATGGGCCCAAGCAGCCAGAAGCCCGCTTTGCAGCAGCCTGACGTTCAAGCTCTTAGGGTAATATTGGGGTAATATTAGGGTTATATTGGGTTTATATTGGGGTAATAGTAGGGTTATATTGGGTTTATATTGATGTAATATTAGGGGTACAACTAGGGTAATATTGGGGTTAATTAGGTCCACAGCGAGAGTAAATCACAAGGTTCACCTCACACTTGATCTTTTGCGTCAGGGCGGTTCGTTTGCCGCTTCATGCGAGCTGCTACCGGTGTTCTAGTAATAATATTGCCCTGATATTACCCCGAAGATTACCTTAGTACAACCCCAACATTACCCTAATATTAACCCAAAATGAACTCCAATATAGTATACTAAGCCCCATAACATTACCCCAACATTATTATAGTCAACACCCCCCTCACGTGAGCTCCGAATCCGTTTGAGGCGGGTGGCTGGGAAGCCGCCTGTCATGAGAAGCTTACCTTGGCTCTGCTCTTGCTGGACCTCATGGGTTTAGGGTTTAGGGGCTTTAGGGTTAATAGGGTTTGTAGGGTTTATGTGGTTTTTAGGGTTTAGGGCTTTGGGTTAGAAGGGTTTAGAGTTTTTTGGGGATTCTTTGATCCAGCTTCTAGGGGTTCTGTGATTTTGGGTTAGAAAGGAAGAAGCCTTGAAGTTCAGAATTCAAATTGGATGCTTCAGACTTGAGGGTTCTTTTCCTGGATTTCAGCAGGAAGGCCTGGCTATGAAAGAGGAAAGGAAAACTGGCATGCTACGATAGGCTCAGCAACCTACCAGTCTGTTTGTACACATGGGTTATTCTCAAAACTATGGCCCATTTCAGTTTCGTCTATAGATTATAGTACGGCACCTAAAAATCAGGGGTGCCAAAATTGGACCCTTGGCGTAGGTACAAGCCACATGATTCTGGGTGGAAGCTTCTTGTAGGCTTCCGCAGGTTTGATGACTGCTGTGTAGTCTGCGGCTTTCTGCTGTGTGTAGTTTGCTTAGTTCATTGCTGCAAAAGTTGGGCAGGGTTGCATGGGGCAGGCAGAGTCGCAGCTCAACTCCAATCAGAATGCAGTATATTGATTTTTTGAGCATTTTCGGCCAGCCGGGGGTGTGGCTGAGGAAAGTTGATAATGCAAATATGCTGTCAGGGGGATTGCAATGGTTTACGGACACCCAACACTTGGGTCAGCTTTTGAAGTGCCGTTCTTGAGATGTGTTTGGAGTTTAAAGGTTGCCTGCTTTGATTCACTACGTCTTACGAGGCGTGTCCTCATCAGTGGGCTCTCATACCAGCAGAGGCTTTGCCATACATCCTGCCCTGCTTCTGGTGGCTGGTGACTGCTGTTTGTAGGCGTACTCGTACGGAATGAGCTGCAATTGATGGCCCTACTGCATGAAGAGTTAATAGGCGGATGGAAGATTGCCACCACCCACGCGCAGCCTATGCGTACTGTGCTCTAAATCCATTTGTGATTATGATCAGGCTCTGTGCTGGTCACACATTCTTCCAGTGACCCAGCTAGGCTGGTCACAAGCTTTTGCAAGAACATGCAAGAACAAGACATGCCCCAAAAGTTCTCATCAGAGCGATGAATCTTGCCGGTTTGCGAGTCCTTTCAGAGAGAAGGTTTCATGCCGCAGAGGCAGCCTCTGGGTGTGGGCGTCGACGGCTTGAGGGGGGGGGCACATTGATTTCAGCTCTGTGAGGAGCTCCTGGGCAGTGAAGCAGAGGGCGAAGACGTCCCTGCCATTGCGGCCTGGACCCCAGGTATGTGCTACAATCACATCATCCAAGCCATTGAGGTGGCCCAGATCTGCAGTTGAGGCGTTTGCGCTTGTGCAGCCCGAACCAAGCAAGCCTAAACGAGGATCTAGTTTGATTCTTTCGTACTCGGGGGGAGTATGATAAGGATCAGCAGGCAAAAATAGTGCGCAGAAAGTCAAAAACCATGACTTGAGGGATACACAGCACCCATCGCCCAGCTTGCGGCCGAGATTGAGCGGCCTGGACCCTGTGCTGTGCTGCATGGATCAGATTTCGAAATCTTGAGTGGTTGAAGTGCGAAGGTGCAACCCGAAACAGGTTTCCCCACAAGTCCTTCAGGGAAAACCTCATGGCATGGTTTGAATTCGATCCGTAAGTTCATGAGGCTGCAGGCATGACGGCCAACTCTAGCAAAAGAATGGTGACAGCTGCCTTCCTGGCACATCCCTTTCTCAGGCGCCTGAAGGGGCAGACCGGCGCCTCCTCCTTAGGGGTTTCTCAGTCTTAACCCTAAATAGTAGTTTCCATGTTCTTTTCCATTATCCCGATATGGGGGTTTCCCAAAATGAGGCGTACCATTTTGGGGGGTCCCCATGATAAGGATTATAGTATATTGGGATCTATGTTGGGGGTCCCTTATTTAGGGAAACTACCATATTACCCCAATATACTACATATTGCTACTGCTCTAACATAGCATGTCCAGAACAATCGTCTGCTTTGCAAGTGGCAGAAGCTTCTACATGCCGAGCATGCCAACTCAGTATCTGTGTGCTGCATGAGTAGCAAACGTGTGCAAGAACTGGGCGTCTCAGTGCAAAGTCTTTGCTTAAGGCTTGCAGGACCTTGTGCAAGGGTCTTTGTGTTGGAGTATCCAGAGCATTGGCCTCACACAAGTGATGAGGAGCATAGTCAGTTTGGCAGAGAATCCAGTGCGACCACTGATCTTCTACCTAAGTCTATGCATTCGATGCACGTGCATCAACTGATTGCTACGTATCCTTCTCCACATCGCGCATCGTTTGCTCCTAGCTCTAGCTCCTCGACGCCATGAGATGTTGGTTGGCGGCATGTTGGTTCTGCTTCGGTTCAGCAAGGCAATTGATTTCAATCGTGTGCAGGAAAGTCAGCACACCGGCTAGACATTGCCGGTCTAGAGTAAGAATACACTCAAGTGACCACTCGGTTGTGTGGTCCATGGCAGGTGGCTAGACTGGGAGGAAGCTGGAGCCACCCCTGGAAGTGCCCACGCAGCCGCGCGAAACACGGAACTTCTTAACACCCTGCTCGCCTCCCTCCAAGCCGGGGTGCCTTGGATTTTATAGGCTCGAGTCTGAAAGAACCCTGTATTCTTGGAAGCATTTATCGTGGTAGTGCAGTTGTGGTGGTGGGATTTCGGTCGTAGTGGTGCTGATCGTCACCGGTGTTGTTGTACCAGCGTACACGTCCGTAAGCAGCAAGTGGTTGGACCTTGCAGGGAGCACGTGGTCAGAATAGATCACTTTGTCCGAGGACACTCTGTTCGTTTCGAACAAGACATTCTGGCTGGCTGGCGGTGTTGAATTACAAGATGCTCACGATGTAACCTTGCACTTGGATGGAACACTAGAGTTCCTACCAGGCCTGGCCAAGTGGAACATGTATAGCTTCCTGCAATTTGGATCCGAGCTCCGCACTCCAAAGTCTCCGTAGATGCCCTAGTAAATAGGGCATGAACAACTGCCGTACATCTTGAGAGAGCCGCAAGATTTGCTGGGCCCAATCCTGTGTTGGGGTCCTCCCTGATCAGGTCGGGCAGGATGGCCTGAACAAGAAGGAGATCTTTGCAATCTCAACCCCCTGCAGCCCAAAAGACAGAGGCCATTGAAGTTTCGCATTCACTGACTTTATTGGCGCCAGTGTTCCTGTTTTGGAGGTTCAAGGTTTAGCCTCTCGTCTTGTAAAAGCCTACCCAAAATCGTAAGGCATTTTGCGTTTGAGATATGTCTAAGACTCTGTGTTTTGCATTGCGCCGTGGCAGGGTCGGCAAGAGCCAGGGCAGACGACCCCTCCCCCACAGAGATATTCTGCGAAGGCAATGTGTGAAGGAAGCTTTCTTTATTGCCAACGTGTCCAAGCTTACGCTGACTAGAAACTCGGCCGCAGCTTTTAGAATTTAACCTTCACCTCTGACACATACTAGACTACACTTGCTTGCCTATGAAAAGGTAGTGGTGGTGGTACAATGAATGGAAATGGAAAGTCCTGGTGGGGCAGCCTGGCAATGTGACGAATGGTGCCGGCTTCATGTCGTCCACTTTGGCATGGCACACCTTCTTGCGAACTCAGGATATTTGCAGTATTTCTTTTATGGCGAAAACCGCCCGCGTCTCCTAAGCATCTATAACGGCACAGATATTCTGGTCGAGAAATGGATTCTTGGAAGCAGTAGATTTTGCCGCCCTGCCCATTGCCCAATGCAGGCCGTACATCCGTGGCAAATAAGGCATTTTGTAGATTCCGCCTACTGGACATTCACGGCTCTGGACGTTGCAAGAATGGAGGCGCACAAAGCCTCCGTCGCAACAGAAACTTTATTTGAAGTAAACATACACGGCAGAAGCTCCTTTTACGGCATGATGTTGCAGACCTGCAGTGTTCAGATTCGCCACTGCTCGGTGAGCGCGCGCGTGGACAAGTCGGATGATCACGACCTGGGGAACATGGATGCCTTCAACACTGATGGCCGCAAGACGAATATTCATCAACATAGTCAACTTTTTGCTGGACTTAAAATGTGGAGCCGCAATGCTCCATCTTTTTTTCGTCAGATGGCCAGTTGTGATTTTGTTCGTTGTGTTGTTGCAGCCGCTTGTGCCGTTACCGTGCCTGGAACCGTTCCGGTAGCCCCTCGAATTTTTGGAAGTGATCCTTATTGCGTTCTCGTTTGGGCGCTGTGCACCTGTTGCCAGAGGCATCGCAAAGCACACGCCTGAAGCCAGCTAGATTATGGTGGATTGCTATGAGGTTGTCTCATGTTCATAGATCCAAGGCTTCGATGTGTCAGGCCGTGACATTCACATCCACCACTGCAGCGTTTGGAACCAAGACGACTGTTTCACCGTCCAACCACGGGACCAGACTGGGATCAACGCCAAATGTGCAGAAAATGCGCCTCTCCAGCATTCAGAGCAAATAGTCAACAACATTGTTTCAGTGCTGGTGAAAGTAGAAGATCCACAGCATCAATGACAGATTTTGATCGAGCACGTCAATGCGAGCGGGCTCGGGCTCACCATTGGAGGTGTGACTTGGCGAACTCTGGCGTACGAATGCGACCATGCGGGGCATGGGGATATTCGGTGAGCCTCCAAGGTGCTGCCTACTCCTGGGCACAACTGTGTCCGCAACGTGACGTTTCGCGATGCGTATATGCTACATACTTTCAAAGGACCTGGGGGCAATGTGGAATCTCTCATCAGGGTCTGCAGACTGTGATGCTCGCACATCGGCCAGGGCCAGGCATGAGGTTGCTTGTGACTCGCGTGCATCTTTTCCGCATGATAGCTTCCGATTCCAAGTCAGGAATTTACATCAAATCGCAAAACACTCCTGCTGAGGGAGCAGCCTGGCTATTTGAATCGAAGCAATAGTCCCGTCAGCACAGCACGAACTACTTTTGCACGCGGACATGTGTCAGATTTCAGTGCATTTGCTGTAACAAGGGGTGCACTCGTTGCAGCAGCTGTTGCCCTCACATGTACATTCGCAATGAAAAACGCTTGAAACATACAGCCAGGTCAGTGCTGAAATCACAAATGTACTATATGTGACTTGGTTGACATTCTTGTGGTAAAGCTAGGCACTGAAGCGGCTTCATATGTTAGATTTGTTTGAATTGCACGCCAAGGAAGACATTGTCATGGATCGGCCCAGCCAGGTGCCGGGAATCACTTGCATGCTGATCTGTTGCACACATGCACGGGTGGAAGGTGCACTCCTTGGCACGATGAAAGGAAAAACAATCCCCATGACAATTGTTTGTAAGCTCAGTGGCTTAGATTTACTGAATGTTATCAGATTTCCTGTTCCTGTTTTCGAATTTGCATTGGACTAGGAAAGACTCTCTATGTCCGCCTTTAAGTGTGCAGGTGCCAATCTGGATCGGACCTGCACAAGAAGCAGACTCATACAAGGCAACCTGGCGCATGATAGGCAATACAAATGATAGCAATAACTAATATATGAGAGAGAGAGAACAGTATATTAGTTTCCATGTTGTTTTCCACTATCCTAATATGACCCCAATATAACCCTAATATTGCCCCTACAATCCCTATAGTTTCCATGTTAGTTTCCATTATCCCAATNNCCCCACTATGGCCCTAATATTACCCCAATTGGTTCCTATGATGCAGGCCTCTTCAACTTGAGAGGCCTTCACGGTCTACCAGACGGGGCATTCGTCTGCACAACCACCGTCCCTCTAGACATGGCCCTTTTTTCCACAGCATGAAGCGTCCAAAGACAGTCTGTAGCTCCCTTTGCATATTGCGCATGTGTTGATGATTGTACGCCGCTGGGGGTCAGGGCGCAGCAGCACTGGACGTCTTAAACAAAAAACAGGAAGGAGACACTGAATTTGCTAAGCTTTCTTCATTTGTTTTTTCATGCTGCTCTTTTGGCCCCGTGCTTCCTTGGTCCTCGAATCCTGTGACGCTTGGGCTCTCCGACCCTCTGGTGCTTGCATTTTTCATGGTGGCCTGTATTACTCTTCGTACATGTTCATCATTCTCTGTCAGTCAGCATCACAGTTCATCACAGCATATCATAATTCCTCATAGTTCATTATTTCCGTGATTTCCATCATATAGCATCGTCTTCATGATTTTCCGTCCATCATCTTCGTCCAAGTTCATAGTTTTTGTCATGTTCATCCTGGATGGTGTGTCACATTCATTGTTTTTGACAGTTTTCATCATTTTCCTCTTTTTTCCATGTTCCACAGTTTCCTGTGATTAACTTTCCCCAACCGCCGCTTTTTGATAGCCGTCCATGCTTGCCGTAAAAGGCATAATGTCATTATTATGTTTGCCGCAAAGCAGGGTTGTGCGGTTCATTCTATTTGCCCACATGTTTGAAATCATTTTTAGGTCATTCATGCCATTCATGCTTGCCATGAAAACATCATGTCATGACTATGTGTGCAGTAAAGAGGCGTTGCGTGGATCATGTTGTTTGCTATTGGGGGGGGGGGGGGGGGGGGTGACTGCGCCCCTGAAACCCGAACTTGCTGAAGATCATCCATGCTTGCCGTAAAAGC